TTGGATCTCATTCAGTTGGATATTTATACATGAACTTAGTTATCTGGCTTAAATTATTTATGTCTTATAGTTAATGTACATGTGAGGTAGAGGGTGTCACTTTTAGTGGTATCATAGCCCAATTGATTCAAATCATACGTGTTGTCTTGCTATGTTTTTTGTGTGCTCTCTAATGATGTGGTGATTATATTGTGAGTATATGATAGTTAGTGTGTTTGTTTTGGGTATTAGTATCATGGCTGGTAGAAATGATTGCCGCTAATGCTCTTCAATCATCAGTGCGAGCAATAAAAATTGATAGGGTTGATGTTGTGCCTAATTGGTTGGAGAGGTTTCAGCGTCATCATCTACCATTCAAGGAAGGATATGAACCTAAAGCTACTATCATTTGACTAACTGAAGTAGAGAAGATTTTCAAAGCTATGGAGTGTTCTATTGTCCAAAAGCTAAATCAAGCTACATTTAAGTTGACTAACGATGCACATTTCTGGTAAAAAGGTGTCTTGCAGAGAATTATAGCTAAAGGCACGCTCGTTAGCTAGGATAAAATGTCCGTTATAGGAAAATAATTATTAAAAAGTAATTATTATTAATTATAAACAGAAAAAAAATATAATTATTATCCATGCATTCGTACTATAATTTTAAATTATATTAAATTAGTATTTATAAGAAAATAATAATTAAAAAAGTAATTATTATTATTATTATTATTATTATTATTATTATTAATAATTATAAACAAAAAAATAATATGCAATTATTATCCATGCATCCGTACTGTAGTTTAAAATTATATTAAATTAGTATTTATAAGAAAATAATAATTAGAAAGTAATTCTTATTAATTATAAATAAAATAAAAAATAATACGTAATTATTATCCATGCATTTGTACTTTAATTTAAAATTATTTTAAATTAGTATTTATAGGAAAATATTAATTAGAAAGTAGTTGTTATTAATTATAAAAAAAAAGAAAATAATATGTAATTATTATTTATGCTTTCGTAGTGTAATTTAAAATAATATTAATTAGTATTTATATACAGATATAATGTGTAATTAAGAGATTAAATTTGATTGAAATATCAATTATAGAATTTAGTTAATAACAAGTAATTATTAACTAATTAATATAAATAGAGGAGTGTTTAAATGATACCGATGTAACTTTTACCAAGTATTATACCACTCAATAACTTTATATTAAATGTGAATTTTGTAAATCTAAACGTTGAATCATAACTTCATATCATTTTATAAATTTTGTTAGAATTGAACAATTTGAAAGCAATCAAAGTGTTTATATTTTATTATATTTTAAAATATATATATTACGTCAAATTTTTTTTTATAAAAATGAAGTATCAAATCATCTTGGATTAATATAAAATTTTGTATATATAATCTAAGAGTAAAAAACTTTTAATATGTAATTATTATGCATGCATTATTCGTACTATAGTTTATAATTATATTAAATTAGTATTATAGGAAAATAATAATTAGAAAGTAATTCTTATTAATTATAAACAGAATAGAAAATAATATGTAATTATTATCCATGCATTCGTACTGTAATTTAAAATTATTTTAAATTAGTATTTATAAGAAAATATTAATTAGAAAGTAGTTGTTTTTAATTATAAACAAAAAAAAGTATTATGTAACTGTTATCTATGCATTCGTAGTGTAATTTAAAATAATATTAATTAGTATTTATATATAGATATTAATGTGTAATTAAGAGATTAAATTTAATTGAAATGTCAATTATAGAAATTATTTAATATAAGCAATTATTAACTAATAAATATAAATAGAGAAGGACTCAAATGATACCGATGTAACTTTTACTAAGTATTACAATATTCAATAACTTTATATTAAATATAAATTTTGTAAATTCAACTATTGAATTATAACTTCATATCATTTTATATGTTTATATCAAATTTTGTTAAAATTGAACAACTTGAAGGTAATCTAAGTATTTATATTTTATTATATTTTGAAATGTATATATTATGCTAATTTTTTTTTACTAAGAATGAAGTATCAAATTATCTTGGATTAATATAAAATTTTGTATATAAAATCTAAAAATAAAGAACTTTCAATATATAATTATTATCCATGCATTTTGTACGGTAGTTTAAAATTATATTAAATCAGTATTTATAGGAAAATAATAATTAGAAAGTAATTCTTATTAATTATAAACAGAATAGAAAATAATATGTAATTATTATCCATGCATTCGTACTGTAATTTAAAATTATTTTAAATTAGTATTTATAGGAAAATATTAATTAGAAAGTAGTTGTTATTAATTGTAAATAGAAAAGAAAATAATATGTAATTATTATCTATGCACTCGTAGTGTAATTTAAAATAATATTAATTAGTATTTATATACATATATTAATGTGTAATTAAGAGATTAAATTTGATTGAAATGTCAATTATAGAAATTAGTTAATAACAAGTAATTATTAACTAATTAGTATAAATAGAGAAGGGTTTAAATGACACCAATATAACTTTTACTAAGTATTATATCACTCAATAACTTCATATTAAATGCGAATTTCATAAATCTAACCGTTGAATTATAATTTCACATCATTTATATGTCTATATCAAATTTTGTTAAAATTGAACAACAACTTGAAGGTAATTAAAGTGTTCATATTTTATTATATTTTGAAATATATATATATATTACGTTAATTTTTTTTTTATAAGAATGAAGTATCAAATTATCTTGGATTAATATAAAATTTTGTATATATGATCTAAGAGTAAAGAAATTTTAATTTAACGGTTGAATTCATAAAATTTACATTTAATATAAAGTTATTAAGTGGTGTTATATTTAGTAAAAGTTACACCAATTTCCTTTGAACCCTCTTCGTATAAATAATTTATAATTAAAAATCATATTCAATTGGTAATTATATATTATTGATTACATTAATTTTAAATTAAATAGTAAATATGATTAAAACAACACTTATAGAAAAAATTAAAATGTATTTATTATTAATTATGAATAGAAAATAAAATAATATGTTATTATTAATTATATTATTATATTATATGAAAATTTTGATGTCTATTACCATTTGGATTGAGTAATTTTGAAATTATATTAAATTAATATTTATAGATATTAACATGTAAATGAATTCGATTAAAGTGTCAGTTTTAAAAAATAATTTATTATTTATTTAGTATTAATTAATAATATTTAATTATTACTAATTATAAAGAAAATAAATATCTATTTTCATTTATAATTTATAAAATGAAATAAGACGTTGTCACGATCAATATGGTATTTATCATTGTACTATTTATTCATTTTTATCATAACACTACAATTTTACTTACAATTGCTTTCTTTTATTTCTATTATATCTTCTTTCCTTCATCTATACTTACAACTCTAACTAATATACACAAAATTATTCATTTATTCATTCATCATTTAGAAAGAAATCATTTATTAGATAATAACTTATGGTTAAGAGCTAATTGTAGTCTATCATTTTAAATTTAAAAAATAAAGTTAAAAGGTTTTATTAGATAATTACTTAAAATAAAATAAAAAAGTTTAGTAACATATTATTTAATACATCTAAAAATCAGTAAAAAAAAAAAATTCCATTAAAACTCGAGAATCTGTTTAACAGCTTGAAAAATGTTTGAATAAAATTACATGAATTATTTGATGAGCTACATATAAAAGAATGATTAAAAGTAAATTTGATTCCTAATAACATATTTTATTATAATTTTTTCTTCCCCAACTTTTCTTTTTTACTCTTTTTTTTATAGATTAATTTGGAAAAATTATCAAATTTCACACACAAATATATATAATTAAATTTGAATTAAATAATTTTAATAAATGTACCGATGAATCTTATATTATAAGAATTATATAATTTTTATTTTTTTATTAGTTCGAATTGCACAATTGCAAATTGAGAATATTAGTAATATGTATCATCTCAAGTATAATAATGTCGTACTACTAAATTTTAGGGCATTTTTTTTAGCATGTTCATCATGTATTTTTATTTGTAGTTTCATTTATTATTTTTATATCTTTAGTTTCGGTTACCATTCAATGCATCTTATAATTGAGGTGAGTTTTAAAATTAGTTATTTTAATTTATCTTGTATATCATGTTAATGAAAAAATTAACTTAAAAACTAAAATCACAACAAATATTATATATATAATTCTTTTATTATTATTTGATCTTTTACATTTATTAAAAATAATAATTTAACATAGTTTTAAACTTTTTAAAATATATTATGTACATTTTTTCACCTGTGTAACATGCAGCTCAATATCTAGTTCATATAATTTATTTCTCTTTTGTTTTTTTTTTTTTTGCTAACTAAACAATTTGGCAACATTATTTATCTTCTCACTTCCTTCTATGTCTCTTAAATAAAAAGCTTAACATTTTCGTATTTTCTTTTATTTCTCTAGCAAGTAAATGTTGAGCAGAGGACATTATCACAATCATATACATGTCTTTATATTAGTAAGATATTATCCGTTTTAGGTCCAAACTTTCACGATTTTATTTTAAAACATTATTAAAAAATTTCTTTATCAATAAAGATAATTATATATATATAAATTTATATTTATCCTCTATTTTAAATAATATATAGAAAGCCCTTTTACTCACAGACGTTAGCTACAAACTCAAAGTCTCATGAACACCCCTAGGCCATAGCCCTAGGCTGACTAGGATCTACTGCTCCTTTCCTTTTCTTTTGAAGGCAAGTGCGGTGGGGGTTGTCTTGTCAGCCAAACATGGCAGATTAGCACAATGTGTGGGAGACATCTAAAAACATTCCAAGGCTACCAACAGTTGACATAACGTCTTTTTAGGGTGATTGTGGGCCACACCTATTCCATTCATTCTTTTTCCTCACTCACACTTCACTATATTTAAACACCCCCTTCTCCCATTTTCTCTTCACCACTTCCTACCCTTCACACAACAACACTAGCTAGGCCTCAATTAGTTATTATTTGCCCTAAGTTACTTACTTGTAGTCACTACTTCTCCAATGGCTGATTTAGGCTCAGCCTCTTCCAAGAGAATGTGGTGTTCCATTCCAGAAAGAATGCAGCTGCACGTGGCCATGTTGGCCTTGCAGTTTGGCTATGCTGGATTCCATGTGGTCTCAAGAGCTGCACTTAACATGGGTGTTAGCAAGCTTGTTTTTCCAGTCTATAGGAACATCATTGCATTGCTTCTTCTACTCCCCTTTGCCTACTTCTTGGAAAAGTTAGTGCTATTCCAACCAACTTATTATGTGTCTATTCTGCATATAATAAAATAAACAATAGTGCATTATTAATCCTTTCTACTTAGATATAAATTAAAAATATTTGTGGGAGTTTTTCTATCAGAAAAATAAACTCTTTATTTTTAATAAAAAAATTCTCAATTTTTGTTTTTAAACTTTGTATCAAAGCAGTCTCTAAATTTATTAATTATGTATATATCTATGTATCAATCTCACGTGCAACCTGTTTTCATTTAATCCAGGAAGGAGAGGCCAACCATGACTTTAAACTTCGTCTGCCAGTTCTTTCTTCTGGCACTTGTCGGGTATGTACTCATATCAAACCATGCAAGATTAATTACAAGGTTCAAAATAATAAAAAAAATAAAACAAAAACTCAAATGCCACGATAAATAAAGATTAAACTAAAGTATAATATGGTCTTTGTTGTCTGTCATTTTCAAAATAATAAAATGGAATTTAGGACGTTCCTTTGATATAACATAGTTTTGCATTAAACAGGATTACAGCAAACCAAGGTTTCTACTTGCTTGGCTTGGAGAACACTACCCCAACCTTCGCATCAGCAATACAGAACTCAGTCCCAGCCATTACATTCCTCATGGCAGCCATATTCAGGCATATGCCCTTAATTAATTAATTCATTATCATTGTTATTTACTAATTGGTATATATACAAATTAAATGTGTATATAGGTAAGCATATGATACACGTATATTAATGATAAAATTGGTTATGCAAATTCAGAATAGAGCAAGTGAGACTGAACAGAAAAGATGGGTTAGCTAAGGTGGCTGGAACAGTGTTGTGTGTGGTTGGGGCCACCGTGATCACTCTTTACAAGGGTCCAACTATATATAGCCCAGCAACTCGTGTGAACAGCAGCAGCAACATAACACCCCAAATATTTGATTTTGGGTCACTTTCACTGGGAGATGCAAAGGGCAAGAACTGGACCCTAGGGTGCTTATACCTCATTGGACATTGCTTGTCATGGTCTGGTTGGCTTGTGTTGCAAGCACCAGTCCTCAAGAAGTACCCCGCTCGCCTCTCTGTCACTTCCTACACCTGTTTCTTTGGACTCTTGCAGTTTCTAGTCATTGCTTTGGTCCTTGAAAGAGACTCACAGGCTTGGCTTTTCCACTCTGGTGCTGAAGCTTTCACAATATTATACGCGGTTAGTAACTAACTATTATGTACATGTGAAATATCAGTTTAAAATCATGTTCAACAATAAATACACCTATTCTAATGAAAAAAAATATATGAAAAGCTTGTGAATATAATTTTTTTTAATCCAGTTGAGTTTTCAATTGCTGTCCAAACATATCTGTATATATTCATTCTCTAACCGTGACATTACTCTTTCCAAATTCTCTAATGCCTTTGAGCCTTTGAGAAGATCATTTTAAAATAAATGGTTTTTCTTTATATTTGTTCTATTTTGAAAAAAAAAAGTATGAAGTGAGCCACTTCATAGTTGTCATAATCGTGTGTCTATGTTTGCAAGATGTTGAATTGATAGTAAGTGGTGAGTAATTACTTGAAATGCATTTTGACAGCTAAATTTTATTAAAAATTACAAATTTTGTGAGTTTTGTTTTATTTTTAATACATTTTTCCATTGATTTAGTAACAGGATTTATTATAAATTTGTGATTTTCAATATATTATGAATAATAGCATAAATAGAGTGTTGATGGATTTTCTAGTTTTTAATTAGGAGTATAATTTCAGAATATATATTCCTCTATAATTGCATGGGTTTGAGGTGTGACATGATATATAGTCCAAGAGTGGTTCAGAAATCATGTTATGGGAACACAATCAACACATCCATTGATAGATGGAGAAATGAGAAAGAAACTAAAGTTGTTTTTTCTAATAATTTTGAACACATTGATTATGCAGGGAGTGGTGGCATCTGGAATTGCCTTCGCTGTACAGATATGGTGCATTGACAGAGGTGGCCCTGTGTTTGTTGCTGTGTATCAACCTGTTCAGACTTTTGTTGTTGCAATCATGGCTACCATTGCTTTAGGAGAAGAGTTCTACTTGGGCGGGTTAGTCCCTAGCACGCTAATTAATAATCCTTATTCTCTTTTCTTCATGTCCATGATATAAATTAATATAAAAACATTTCTTAAAAATATATATTTGCATATTTCTAACATAACACATAATAACATGTCTATGTTAATTAATTTAAATGTTTAATTGGGTAGGTAAATTATGCTCTTATTTTTCGAAAGAAAAATTCCCTTGACTATATATATGTCTACTTTGACCACGTAATGCTGAGTCCGAAATGACCTAAAGTATGATGAAGGGTATTTTGTAGCTGAAAAATGACAAAATCCACTAAAAGACGAGGAGCTAGAGGTACAGATAATTTGTTACCTTTCGGTGAGAACCTGAAAAGTGGCTTCTCCTTAATGATTTTACATTCCAGAGGGTTAAAAAAATTGTTATAGGACATTGAACAGAAGATTGTGTCTCGTGTGCTTCTTTATGTTGTTTACTTTTTGCTCCCTCATAATTCACGTTTATTTATTTTTTCCTTCTAGAATAATAATAATGTTCATTCTAATTTGGTTCTTTCCTTTGTGTGATGTCATAATAGGATCATTGGGGCAGTGTTGATTGTAGCGGGACTATACTTTGTCTTGTGGGGTAAAAGTGAAGAGAGGAAATTTGCAAGGGAACAGCTTGCGATTGCTTCCACTGCGGAGCATAGCATCATAAGGCCCGCAAGCCATGCCAAAGCATCACTCAATCAACCACTCCTTTCTTCATCATCAGAAAATGTTTAAACAAGAAAATTTCAATTTCAAAACACAGCATTTTCTGGTGTGAGAAGAAAAAGAAAAAGGGAAAAATGATAGCACTTATAGGTTACTAGTTACTAGTGTTACTACCTTGTGTCAGCAAGCTTGTGTGTGTTCGATTTTTCTCTCTCTTTTTGTTTTCTTTCTTTTTTTTTTTTAAATTGAAATGCTTTTTCAGTAGGTCATTTAGAATGAGAGAATTGTGGGAATGATTGTCATGGTGGATGCCAATTAAAGTGGGACCTAGAGCCTGAAATCCCACATATGCTTTTGTATGTGTTAATCAATTTATGGTTTGATTTACGAAAAGAAATTTTATTTTTCGGGTCATGGGAAACGAAAATATTTACGATATATATTAATTACATGACATTGAATAGAAGGGACAACGACTCACAAAATTTCCCAAATGTTAACTCTTGTTTCGTAAGTAGGCTATAAGCGCATGAAGATATGTTGATAAACCATGAATAGTCATTAGTCACCCTCAAGCAAAATCATCATTTCGGTCGGATTCAGTCAAAATTTCTTTCACATATCACGCACAAATTTTACTTTTATTAACAAAGTTTCAGTAAAAAAAATATGGATACGAGGGGTACCCAACCCTCACAAGTCACACCACTGATCTACGATTACACCACTACGTATAATTACCATTTATACTCTCCCTCTCTGTAACTCATAAATGCATTATGTCCCCATTTGTATATGTATACATATCAACTATGTTTAGAATCCAAAAGTATCACCCTCATCCCAATGTTTACATTTCGAAAATCATTACATGCAACACCTATATATGTTACCATCATGTGTCTGCATAGTTCTGATTTGATCGTCACCATTGCTATATAATATGTTGTTAATCCCAAGATGACAAAGAAACACAAAACTGAGCACCATCGTCACCATTGCTATACAAAATGTTGTCAAACCCAAGATGACAAAGAAACAACAAAAGGCACCGCACCGCAATCACAGCATAAATATCCTAGATATCATCACATCGTAGTTATATTAATGTATATAAATGTGAGATAATTTTCATCTTACAAATAATTTTTATAACATTAAATTAATTTTTTAATTCATTTTCTTAACTCAATTTTATTAAATTGATATCAAATCATACTAACATTGTTAGGTTTATTAGATTACTCCATTCAAACTATTTTTAGAATCATTTGTAAATATTTAATCGTATAAACTTTATACATATATAGTGAAAACAAACTCATAATGAAGTCTACATATATAAGATGTTTTAGTAGAATTAACATGTAAGTTATAAGTTTTAAACTCTAAATTTAGAAATTTGAAAACTATTTTATTTAATAAAAATGTTTGATAAAATTAGTTGATAAGTTAACTGATAATCGTAAAATGACATAACATATATGTAGTTATTTTGAAAAAAAATAAATAAATAGGATAAAAAAACAAAAAGGTAAATAGTTTACAAGCTACTTATTTTCATAAAAATCAAATAACATAATGTTAAGGTAATTTATGAAAGTAATTTATAAATTATTACAATAAACTTATGCTAAACAAAAATGTTTTTATCAAATTAATTTATAATTAAGTCATTCATACTAATTTATAAACTCATTCGGAATCTCGCCGCCTACTTATATAGCTTAATTTGCATCTAATTATAGATTGTGTTGTCTTGAATCTTGATGATGTAGGATGGATCAGCAACTTAATTTGCATTGTCCCCATCATGTCGATATAAAATGTGACAAGGAATAAAGGCCAAGAAATAAGGACCGATACGAAAAGTTGGTAAGCTACTGCCACGAGGCTACATGCTAACGTGTCATTGTTAATTCTTCTAAAGACAGAGACAACTTGACAAAATTCTAGGTGAAATTTATAAGCATATTCAACTAACAGATCCCAAGATCATATCCTTAAAGGCTACGTGAATCATTGAGATCCATGATCATATATTAAGTTAATCCCACTTGTTTTGAAAGTTTGCTTTATTAAGATGATCAATTGATGCTTTTCCTTTTCTCATCAAGGGAGAGGTATCTCTTTCATTGCTTGGTTTGCCCTTTTTCTACGCACCGATCTTTCTTTCATTTGCTTTACTAGCCTTGTCAAAATGGTTTTAGTTGACTATTGTCACGAGCTGTTTAGGAGGTGTTTTAAAAATATCCTTTTTTTTAGATCAAAAGTTTTTAATACATTTAATCCGCCATTTGTATTTCGATTTAAGATTCGATTTCCAGTTTATCATAATTAAAATATCACTTTATTTTTATTAGAATGGAGTAAAAACAAGAAATCAATTGAAACTAACAGTGATCATATTATTATTAAATTCAAGTAACAATTTTACTTATCTAATCTTAAGGATCACTTATTTTAGCAAATTCTACCAATAATTTTAATAATATTTATGTATTTTCTAAGCTTCATATTCAAATATAATTAGTAGCAATTTTAAATAATATATAGATTATTAATTAATAATTTTTAACATTATATATATAAAAAATCAAGACAATGCATCTATAGCTATAAGTTTAGCATGACATATTTCTCATCATTAAGACATTAATATCCATCAACTCTAAAACATACCCAACCTATTAAGTAACTCAAAAAATTAAATTCATGATCAATACTCAAAAGCAAAATATGTAAATTGTTCCAAAACCAATCTTGCCTCAAATGTTAAAACATAGGGTCAAAGTCATGAGTTCGTCGTGTCTAAAAAAAAATGTCAAACTCCATGAAGATTACTATCTAATGAGAATCCCACTTGTGGTGTTGGCACATCATGTTTACTCTCTTCATCCTATATGTAACAATCTGTTAATTAGGTCCCTATATTTAATGATTCACAACTAGAAGTGAAAAAATATACATACTTTTTTGCCTAAGATTAATATACAACCGTTCCTAAATATACAAGTAATAATATATATATATACACACACTCACACACACATGTACAAAATCTGTAATGATGAAAATCATTGGAGATATGGTTTGTGATTCCCTCCACTAGTTTCCTTGTTGTGCCCAATCTTCTTCCATGGATAAAACAAGCTTTAGAAAACCAAAAATGGTAGGAGAGATGAGAAATGGGTGCACTACTTTCCTTGGGAGAAAGATAAGCAAGAGGTGTTGATCTTGACATAAAGAGTAGAAATTTCTTGATAAAAGATCTTAAGAGAGATTTCTCCATGTAAGAAACTATGACTTTTGGAAGAAAAAACTCAAAGGTTCATTCTCATATACTCTCAAAAGTGTTCAACCATATACAAGGAATTTGCCTATATAGAATTTGGTTGGCTTATGGTGCAAGCTAGATTAATCTTGGTTAAGTGTGACAAGGTTAGTTAACTTGTACTCGAACTAACCAACTCTAGTTACATGTATGGAAGTTTATGGAGCAAGTCAAACTAATCCTAGATTAAAATAACCTAGGTTAGATTAACTTAACTTCAACTACTAAACCTAATCATTACACCTAACAAACTGATGATTACTAATCCACAAGTCGTTCAAATGTCACTATCAAAAGCCATATGAAAAGTTGACCACTTAGATGACCTATTTGACTTGGTTTTGGACATTCGAATCACTTGCTTGAACAAGTGGACATCCCAGCCCATGGTTTAATAAGAATTTGGGTAATCTAAGCCTAATAAGTTCAACATGACTTTAGCTAGTTACACATCTCCTAAATTACTAATTATACCCTCAAAAAAATCAATAAAAGGACAAAAATCACTATACTACTTGTCCAAAATACAAAGTTAAAAACAAAGAAAATATTTACAAGGAAAAAACATACACAAAGAAGAGAAAAGTAAGCTACTAAAATAACCCAAAGCTTAATAAAAACTTGGGTCTTCTTCCTTAAAGCCTAACCCATCACTCCTCTTGGCTCCTTTTGGACTTAGCCCCTGGGCATGATGTCCTCATGTACCAATAATTGAAATATTACACAGGTATGTTTGTGTGACACCCTTTTGTCCCAAAAGATTTAATAAATAAATATAACAAAATTTCTGGAAAAATAAAAATAACAACTTATAATAATTCTTCTCATGGAATCTTGTAAAAGAGTTCACATATTTATTCACCATTTAAAATAAAACGTTACGACCCGCTAGGGTCCCTACACTTAGAGGAATCTTACTAGCTACACAGATAGACTAAGAAAAGATATTAAAACTGGATAACTCATACACACAGGCAGTTAAAAATATAATAATAACTATGTTTCTATGAACAAAAGATAACACTAAATATGTACAGTCATCCCAAAGATAATATCCTCCTAGTGTCGATTAAGCACAGATAAAACAGCTACCCAAGTGGTAACTCTGACACAAAGACAAACTCCTCATCTCACAGCGATTACAACAACCATCTCCAACCTAACCCTGATATGCTCTCATACATAGTATGATCATTGCAGTCCATCCACATGGAAACAGAAGGGTAAGCTAGAGTTCAATAAACAACCATACAAGTATAGAACAATAATTTATACTACTCATTCATCCAATCATCATTACAACACAACTACACATTTTATCATAATATAGCTCAACTATCAGCTCATTCATACAACTTTATAGGAAATTTAAATGCAACAACACATGCAACATCAACTAATGCGTCGTCACGCATATACAACTAGGAGATCTCCAACAATTAAGGTTGAGCAGTTTAAGTGGCATAAACCCTACCGAATCTAACATTTGACCTATCTTAACCAGGTCAGGTATAGGACATCGTTAGAAACTCAGAAGAGAACTAGGAATAGACAACCATAGGCAATTTCTCAAGTGTGCCACTCAGACTCGGAGGTCCAGTACTACTGTCAAGGCAAAAGGGTTTGGGTATGGGCCTACCACGACCTTAGCTTGCATTACCAATCCACATATGGAGTTAGTTCACCCACTACCCTCCAAGTACCACGCACCCTCCAGTACCTAGTCAAAGACTACATCTCTAACTAGATACCTTACTCAAATCGGGCATTCAACCATGACATTGCTCGATTACTTCCATGTCGCTCACACAATACTAAGGGATTCAACTTTAAAAACAACTTCCAATTTATCTCTTTAGTACTATGTATCTCAACATAGGATATATATCTTAGCCTTATATCCCAACTTGTCAACTTCACAACAATAGGCATCTTTAACAACTTTACAACAATAGTCATCTTTAACAACTTTAAGCAACATAATAACATCTTGAATAAACAACTTGAGCAACTATAGTCAACACATAACAACTTTACAACAATAGACTACTTCAACTTATACATCTCGACTTATTCATAT